CTCCCAAGTAGCTGGGACTACAGGCATGTGCCACCATGCCCGGCTAATTTTTTTCTATATATGTTAGTTGGCCAATTAATTTATTTCTATTTATAGTAGAAATGGGGTCTCACTCAGACTGGTTTTGAACTCCTGACCTCAAGCAATCTGCCCGCCTCGGCTTCCCACAGTGCTAGGATTACAGGGGTGAGCCACCACGCCTGTCCCTGAGTTCAGATTTCTAACTACCAAAGCCCCCTGACTGGGATAAGTAGGTTCCTTGCTTTGGGTCAGAAAGCACAAAAATAAACACCTCTGGGACCTTAAAAGAAACAATAACTATATTTATCTAACTGGAATGCCAGGCCTTAGAAAGATCCATAACATCTGACATATTTATCCCTGGAATCTAGCAGCCACCAGAGACAGATTTAAAACCCACAGCACTACTTGGGGGTGGGGGCTGAGAAGAGAAATGCCTATCCTCTTCTGGCTCTTGTGAGGAAGGGTGTTTTTTGGTCCATTGTCCTTGTGAAAATTCTGTCACCATCCTCCAGAAATCAAGATCCAGAAACATGAGACAGTCACAATGTGACTGGCAGCTCACCTGACCCCATAAACAAAAAGGCTTGGTAAATACTATAGTTCCTCCCTCCCTCTGTGGTTGGCCCTGACCCTGGTCTTAAAGGAGTCAGAGGGCTCTTCAATGGGGGTCAAGAGGTTGGCCCTGACTCTAAGGGTGAACAAATATGGTCAAATCCTTATGCTGGGATTCCTGCCTGCTTTCTAGGTAACTCTTGAACCCCAGTGCTACTGAATTTGAATCAAAACATTGGGAGTGGGTTGGGGTGGGACAATGCAATTACCTAACTACACCAGGAAATCCAACAGGTATTATCACCAACAGAGCTTTAGAGATTTCCAACAATCCTTTAGGAGACTGGAACTAGCCTGTGAGTTGGAGGTGGTCCAATTGCCCTAAGTAAAATACAGTACCCCATGCTTTTTTTTTTTTTGAGACAGAGTCTCACTTTGTTGCCCAGGCTACATACAGTGAGTGCTGTGGCATCAGCCTAGTTCACAGCAACCTCAAACTGTCTCACTTTGTTGCCCAGGCTACAGTGAGTGCCGTGGCATCAGCCTAGCTCACAGCAACCTCAAACTCCTGGGCTCATGCAATCCTCCTGCCTCAGCCTCCCAAGTAGCTGGGACTACAGGCATGTGCCACCATGCCTGGCTAATTTTTCTATATATATATTAGTTGGCCAATTAATTTCTTCCTATTTATAGTAGAGATGGGGTCTCGCTCTTGCTCAGGCTGGATTTGAACTCCTGACCTCGAGCAATCCACCCACCTCGGCCTCCCAGAGTGCTAGGATTACAGGCATGAGCCACTGCATCCCATGCCTGTCCCATGTTTTATCCTGTGGTTTTAACTCATTCCCCACCCCCTAACTCCTCCTACCCTTCCCACCGCCCTGCCACAATGCTTTTATAAGTTGTGTGGTAAAATGTACAAGAAGCTGCAAATAATTTTCTCAAGGAAATATAGTGTATGATGGGAAGGAGAGGGCTTTTTTTTACTCACCAAAAACCCTTTTGGAAAGAGAGAGCTGTCTGTTGGAAAAGTTCTTTGATAATTGCTTGGGGGAAGAAACTGACACCTGAGGGGTCCAGATTTTGGTGTACTATCTGCAGCAGACAAGTGAATGGTTTTGTTGTTTGCTCCATAGAGGGAGAGGGAAGAGGAGAGAGGAAAGATAAAAGAGATGTGACATCTCTGCCAGACTATCACGTGAAGGCAGGTGGTGGCTTTAACAGCATTAAAACTATTTCAAAATTTCTGCCTTTAAAATATTCCAAGAAGCATATAAAGGGTGCTAAAAGTGTGAACTCCTTTAAAGTACCATTATCTTGGATAAAAGGTAGAAAAAGAAGAAAAGAAAAAAAACTTTTGTTAAAGAAAAAGCCTTAGCATTTAAGGCTTTTCCCAGCTTCTTAAAAAAATTTGGTGCTCCAAATTATTTGCTGAATGAGTGACTCTCCTGCCATTTCCCACCCTCCAAACCTGTACCTCACACTCCAGCAACACTGAACTATTTCCCATATTGTCATGGGCAATACTATTACTGGGTAAAACTATTTCCCATATTGCAATGGGTATTTCCTATTTACCATGTCCTCTCTCACCATGTGTCTTCTGTGTTTGGAGTATTCTCCCTTCCCCACCCTGATCCCCAAAGCACACTCTCTTGTCCACTAAACAATTTCCTACTCATTTTTCTCCCTGCTTCCTACTACCTCCCATGGGCATGGCTGGCTTTCTCATTCCCATGAGGTTTCAACTCAAAAATCACAGAACTTCTCATTAAGGCCATCATGACCATATACTAAAATGCCAGCAACCTCTGCATCAAATCTTCATAGCCTCCTTCTGTGCTTTATTTTTCTTCTCAGTTCTTAGTAATATTCAACACATTATATATTTTACTTATTTAATTTGTTGTCTGCCTTCCTCAGTAAAATATAAAATCTATGGAGACAGGGATTTTAGACCTTTTAATTTGTCTGCTACTCTATCCACAGTGCCTAGAATAGGATTTGATACACAGGAAATGCTTAATATGTAGGATAGATGGATGGATGGATGGATGGACGGATGGATAGCTGATTGAGGCCTCATCTCAGAAACCATCTACACCTGAAGTCCCCAGGCAGATTTAGAAGTTCTTCTTCCCTGTACATATATTTTCTTATCATATTGTACTTGTTTGTCTGTGTGTTGTTCTCTTCTCTAACCTAAAACCTAATTTAAGGTCCAGGGCCTCACTGCTTCATCTTTATACACTTAGAACTGAATCCTTAGTGCTTGGTAAACAATATGTCATTGAACAAATGAATGATTATTACTCCATTTTACAGATGAAGAAAATGAGGTTCAAAAAGGTTAGATAACTTCTAAGGATACAACTAGTAACTTGGAGAGGTAAGACACTAACCCAGACATAAATCATGTGCCCCTTTATTACTCCTTGTCACACTACCTTTTTTTTCATTCTGCCACCTCTGCTTACCATGTTCTGTCCTGCACCTACATTTTCTATTTATCCATATTCTACCCACTACTTGGTATTAGCTCAAATCTTATTATTCAAGGAAATCTTCCTTGATGACTCTTACATTAATTTTTCCCTTTTCTCCAAAAGGCTTCTGAGATAACTCTCAGGGTAAATGGGGGAGGTTATGAAGTGGAATATGTGGCCTAGGGGAATAGCTTATTCAAATCCTAACTGCATTTTACACTCCATATTCAGGCTGTTGGTGCAAAGGCCTATTTGTTTTGCAGGTAATGGACAAAGAACTAATCTCACCCTCCACTGGTCCCCAATTTCAGGTAGTGTTCTCTCATGATCTAGATATCTCTCCTAAGAATTTATGCTGATGGTAGATGCAATTGCATTTTTTTTTTTTTTTGAGACAGTCTCACTCTGTTGTCCGGGCTAGAGTACCGTGGTGTCAGCATAGCTCATAGCAACCTCAAACTCCTGGGCTCAAGCGATCCGCCAGCCTTGGCCTCCTGAGTAGCTGGGACTACAGGCACACACTATCATGCTCAGCTATTTTTTTCTATTTCAGTAGAGATGGGGACTCTGGTCTGGAACTCCTGAGCTCGAGCAATCCTCCCACCGTGCTAGGATTATAGGCATGAGCCACCACACCTGGCCTGGTGATAGATGCAATTGTTTGTATGATTTGGTTGAGCTGAGTTCCCCAAGAAAAGCTGCAGAATGGAGCATGTTTTCTCCAGGGTTATCTGGACAAACAGCATCCCTACCTTGGGATTAGCACTCAGGACACCTAAAGCTTTTCTCCTTTCTTCTCCATCTCTGCTTCTGTTGGAAGCAAGGACTTCAACCCTTTCCAAATCTGACTCCTCTAGGGTTCCAACATGAGAAGCAAACGCTTATTTCCTAGTAGTTATTTCTTCATATTAACACATTCAAAATAGAAACTTATTTTTCATTAGCCCAACTCCTTCTTTTTTGATACAGGAAAATACACCAATATTGGAAAGTGGTAATTTTTGTTATCAACAGTCCTTGGAAAGCAATGAAAAAAGTTGCTTAGAGTTGAAAAAGTATGTTTGATACTTGCTCTCATTTCCTCATCTCTCGAGGTGAGACAATTACAATCAGAGCCTGTAAAAATCCACAATAAAATCTTCTCTAATGCCTTTTACACTTAAAATCCTTAGTAGACACCTTAGCCATATTAGATACCTTATTCACTAATAATGTGCTACCTTAGTCTGTAACTGTACTACATTTGCCCTTAAATTGTGTCTACATAAAATGTTAAAATCTCTATAATTTGGGAACTAGTAATGAACTAAAAGTGCAGGTTTGGTTATTAGACTGTGTTCAAATCCCACCGTTATCATTTGTCAGCTGTGTGACATTAACTTCCTTAATGTCTCTGAGTCTTGTTTGCTTCATTTTAAAATAGGATCCTACCACTTCATAAAGTAATTTTGTATTTAATATACAAATATTAATAAATAAATGATAATAGCTCTTTGAGGGTGTACTTCATTAGGAATTACGTTGAGCACTTCACGTGCATTTTATCTAATTGTCAGAACAGTCTGAAGAAACTTAAGACGCTAAGCACAGAGCTCTGTACATTGTAGACGACATATATCGAATGAATGAGGCAGAGAGGCTACCACGGTCCGCAGCTGGCAGGCCATTGTAGAGGACGGAGTGGAGTCCAGTTATGTTTCACCACAAAGCCCATGACGCTGACCTCTACACTGTATTTCCTTGGGCAATGTACAAAATGCTGAATACAGTCTTGGCACAGAGAGCCCCTAATATAAAGCGTTTTGTTTATCACCGGCCCTGCGCGTTAGAGAGGACTGCCCAGTGGGCTTTGAACGCTAACTCGCCAGTTTCCATTCGGAGCCCACTGTTCTGGGATACGGTGTTTCCCTAAGCGAGGCTGACGGGTGAAATAGAAAATACACGCTTCTTCATTTCTCTTTTCTCTCTCCCCGGAAATTAACGGAAGAGTGGCGTTGAGGTTGGGGATGCGCCTCTGGATTCCCGTCTCCTGGGACCCGCAGGCCACGCGGAGGCGACAACGGCCCAGAAATCTGTGGAGTGTGTTTCCAGTCGGACCGCGTCCTGGGCGCTCCCGAACGCCGCGCCTGCGCGCTCAGCCCGTCGCCGCGCCGGCCCCTGCGGACGTTCGCTGGCTGCCTTCGCGGCGCCTAGGCCTTGAGATGTTCGGTTCCCGGGCCTTTTCCAGCTCCAGGTGCGTGAGAAGGACTTCAGAAACCTGGGTGTGAGGTGCAACGACCCCCGGGGAGGGTCGAGCATGCTTCGTTCCATACTGCTGAGGTGCCTGGGGACCCAGAACGGGGGCTCCACGATCTCCTCAGCTCCTGAGCTCCATTTCCTTTCAGACTTCCCCGCCTTTTGAGTGCGTCTAACCGGGAGCAGGAATCCCCGAGGAACGCGCGGAAGGGATGCTTTTTCCTTACTGTGGGTCATATCACATGTGGCATTTTTTTTTTCTGGCAGCTGCCAAAGCAGTTTTCACCCTTGCCCTTCTTTTCCTGGCGTGGGATTTTACAGTTTTGGGACTCGGCTCGACCACTAAATGCTTATTGGTCGTGGGCGATTAGATTGAAGACTAGATATCTGTGTCCTTTGTCCAGTGTAGTCCCACTGAGGAGGAGAGGTGAATGTTACAGGCCAAGAAAGTGGTCCAGGGGGAATGGAACATAAGAAGTTAAGAAGAGGGAAAGGCTGTGACAAATGCCAACAGAGATTATTCCTCAACTGAAAGTTGTCTGTTTCTCTCAGGTCTTTCATTTCTTGTACATTTACTTTTGGGTGTCCTCACTTCATTTTAATGGTATTAGTTAACACAAGAAAATAAACGCCTTTCAGCCTTGAGGCAACATCGGGTATTATTGAGGTCAGTTTTTACAGTCTTCCAGCGGAATGTGTCTTGCTCCTGTCAGAATAACTTCCGGTTGAACCATTGAGCAGATCTGTTTTTTAAAATTTCAATTTAACATTAAAAAAAGTACACAGTCATGAGGGATTGGGTTTTTTTTTAAATGTTATCTACAAAAAACTCCAGTCAGCGGAGAGAAAAGTCAGTTGAAATGGGCTTTGGAACCCTATGAGCACTCTTGTATAATAAGTACCTGGGGTACTGCACTTGGAGTGGTGAGGATCCCTAACCTGACACTTAGAAATAGGAGATGAGATCACCCACTTGCACCAATGGTTCTAACAACATAAGGCTCCCAGTGAGTGCTTTCCCACATGCTAGAGGCAAGTGACAATAGTATCCAGTCTTAGTACTAGTGATGGTTGATCCACCATAGTCCTCTTTTGGCACAGGAGTGGTAACAATACCTGTTATAATCAGAGATAGTTGTCTAGTGTGGTTCTAGTGTATCACTTTTTAAGGGATGTTACACATAAGCATTTTTTAAAGGGAAGGAGAAGCATACTAAAAGAATTGAGGAGTCTGGATCAAGACGTAAATCCTTTGTGTGATCGTTCAGTCCTGACCTTAGACAATTACTAGACTTTGCTTGGCAGACCTCTTGGGGCTCCACACTAGACTTGGTGCATGCCAAGGGCACTGCAGTTTTCTGGAGGGAGTTTCAGTCAGGGACTCACCCTTCCTCTCCTGCTAGCCATGCTCATACTATGACTTCTTACCTGGTCCAGGTACCGCTATTTGGGGGCCCTCCTATCGGACCATGGCTGAGGTACTTTTTTCTCTCTTTTTGACTCGGGTCCTTTCCACTCATAGACCTCCCCCCTTCCTCTTCTGTCCCAAGGATCTATATGGCAAGAGCCTTTTGTTAGTGGCCCTTTGTAGTGAGAGGATTTCCTCCAGTGCACTGCATCCACGTGACCCTCACCTAGTGTCCTTCACCTAGTATCCTTCTGTTTAATGGACCACTGGGCAAAAAGAGGCAAAAAGTACCTCTTTTTCCTCTTGTTTGCACTGTTGCAGTTGCAGTAAGTGAATAAAGACTTATTACTTTCAGTTTGGCTCGTTGTCCTGATTGACTGCCTTGACACCTAATTGTTCTATGGGAATTAAATAAATTGCCAAGTTCTTGGTAGTTCACTGTATTCATGACTTGATTTTAATCCTCATGACTTTTGCTCTGTTGTCAGCATGTTTATGGTTTTCGGAGGTTGTTCACCTTTAATTTCTCTCTCAATGTGGTGAAAATGCATATCTGTAGCACCAACAGCTGATTGTTACTATGATGAAAATTTGGATTATATGTTATATTTTATAAATTAATGGTTTGAAGTCACATTACTTTGTTTTGCTTTGATTTGTGTGGTGTTTTCCATTTGGCCTCTAATTAGATGATTTTTTTTGATAAGTATTTTAGAATAATAGGGTCAAGTGAAGAAAACCAGATACTGTTGCTTTCTTTACTAATCTTGTCTCATCCTATGGGCCCAGATCTTTATAACCTTAATAGAGTACTTGGCCAGTTTGAATAAAGTGATTGATTTGCTGTAGGTTCCTCTGCCTAGTCTTATGTGAAGAGGTGTGTTAAGAATAACTTTCACAAATGCTTTTGCCTCTGCCTACAGAAGTTTCACAAAAAAATATTTATCTTTGCTATATGGCATGCAATCAGATACTTTCTATTTTATTAAACAAAATTCCAATCATGATCCACTGAGTTGACTTCACAGTCCATTAATGAGTAGTGACCTGCAGTTTGAGAAACACTGTAGTAACGCAACTAATAGAAGATATTTGCTGAATACTTTTTTTCTGTTTCTGATTCAAATTGCTGAAGAGAACCACAGTGGGTGTGTTTGTGATTTTGTGTTTAAGGTGTCTTCATCATAACACAGATATGTTGAATGTTTGCCAAATTAGCTAACCAAAGAACTCTTTGATAGACTTATCTGATAGCCTTATCAACTCTCTGATCTCAACCACAAGACACAATAGAATGAGAGGGCCAGCAGGCTTTTTTTTTTTTTTAATCTTTGGCCCCCTTATTTAAGGGCAATGCAGTAGTAGAAGACTAATGAGAAGAAAATTGGCTTCTTGGCCAGGTGTGGTGGCTCACACCTGTAATCCTAGCACTCTGGGAGGCTGAGGTGGGCGGATCACTCAAGGTCAGGAGTTCAAAACCAGCCTGAGCAAGAGTGACACCCCGTCTCTACTATAAATAGAAAGAAATTAATTGGACAACTAAAAATATATATATAGAAAAAATTAGCTAGGCATGGTGGTGCATGCTTGTAGTCCCAGCTACTTGGGAGGCTGAGGCAGAAGGATCGCTTGAACCCAGGAGTATGAAGTTGCTGTGAGCTAGGCTGATGCCATGCCAGAGCACTCTAGCCTGGGCAACAGAGTGAGACTCTGTCTCAAAAAAAAAAAAAAAGAAGAGACAATTGGCTTCTCGGATTAAAGAGAAGATAGGGTGGTAAGGTCTTTGTGAAAGTACCTGTTAAACTTTTTGTATGTGTCTTACAGAGGTATATAGGGAAGGCATTTTTATCTTTATATTAATTCTAAGATTAAAATGACTTTTTTATTATGTTGCCTGACAAGTAAACCACACACTCAACTTTCAATTACTTAGTAATAGATAAGTATATAAATAACCAATTTGTCAATCTTATTGCCTCTGTACTAGTCTTAGGAATGACATAACAAAGTGGAAAGGAGCAGTAGAAAGAACTAGTTAGTATGTTTATGTCTTCGAAATCCTAAAATTATTACTAAAAAGATGGGGATAATTTTTAAATTTGATTAGTGTTGAGTTAAATAATACCTTACATTTATATATTGCTTCATAGTTTTCCAACAAATTCACATGCATTATCTGTATACATTCTCACAACTTGAGTGGTAGGCAGTCCAGGAGACATTTTCCCCATTTTATAGACGAGGAATCTATTTTCTTCTTCTTACCACCATACAGTGGCAAATCCAGGACTAGAACCTAGGTCTTCTGAGAATTTTCTTCTAGTCCACATTGTCCTTCTTGATCTAAAGAAGGAATTAGAGTAAGTAGTGTTAATGTTGTGGCTAAGAATTCCAACAGTGGTAAGTGAAGTGTTCTGTTCTCAGAAAATGTCTACAATGTGCAATGATTGAATGCAAGTATACCTTATTTTTAGTAATTTAATTCTTACACACTTTACCTTTCTAGCCCCCATTAAAAAAATAACAAAGCAACAAAATATTAGCAAATCTTAATAGTGAGATAGGAAATTTGGAATTAAAAGGTCCATTTAATGTTAAAAAATTCGACTCAGTCTTATGTAGCATCTCAGAAAAATAGCTTAAAAGTTATATAAATTTTTAGATATTTTTCCTCATATCTGTATATGTGTGAAGTTAGTTTTATGATTCTAAAATATTCATCTAAAATGATTAACTTGTAAACATAGGAAAAGTCCAGATCCTCCTTTATCCTTAAGATCTTCAGCTAAAGAACATCTTAAATTATTTCTTTTCATATGAATAAAGAATTTTAAAATTAATTCATTTTTATTTTTAATTTTTAGGCCTCTGTGGAATTTAAGAACACCATGGAGCCCATCAAAGTGTATTGCTGAAGAATATGATGGCTGAAGACGATTTTGAAGTACAAAAGATTCAACAGTGTCTAGTAGCCAACAAACTACCTAGAAACAGGCCCTATATTTGCAATATTTGCTTCAAGCACTTTGAAACACCATCAAAATTAGCTAGGCATTATCTCATTCATACTGGTCAAAAGCCATTTGAGTGTGACGTGTGTCATAAAACCTTTAGACAACTAGTTCATCTGGAGAGACATCAATTAACTCACAATATGCCTTTTAAATGTAGTATTTGTCAGCGCCACTTTAAAAATCTGAAGACATTTGTGAAGCACCAGCAACTTCACAATGAAACCTATCAGAATGATGTTAAACAGGTCAGAAGATTGCTGGAGACCAATCAAGAAAATCCAGCGTATGAAGTCTATAATACTTTTACTACAGAGGAGACATGGGCATTACACCCCTGCTCTGAGTCTGATCCCACATACAGTACTACGAAGAGAATAAAGAATGTTCATGCATGTACAATCTGTGGCAAGATGTTTCCATCACAATCAAAACTTGATAGGCATGTTCTCACTCATACTGGTCAGAGGCCTTTTAAATGTGTCCTGTGTAGTAAATCTTTTCGACAGTCAACTCATTTAAAAATCCACCAACTCACACATTCAGAAGAAAGACCTTTTCAATGTTGTTTTTGTCAAAAAGGATTTAAGGTTCAAAGCAAACTTCTGAAGCATAAACAAATCCATATGAGCAGTAAGACTTTTCAGACTCTTTCATTAAAGGTGAAGAGTCCAGAATCTTGCCCCCTGCCTAATAAATTAAATGCAAATCAAGATGGTTTTGAAAATGGTGATATGGATGAATCTGAGGAGAGTAATCCACTTGATGTCCACTCTGTTTATATTGTCCCTTTTCAATGTCCAGAGTGTGAAGAGTGTTTTGAATCAGAGCAGATTCTCAATGAGCACAAGTGTTTTCCTGCCAGAGATGACAAAATTCCAAACAGGCTCAAAAGAAGCTACAACTATAAAACCATTGTTAAAAAAATCCTGGCGAAGCTTAAACGTGGTGGGGCTAAAAAATTAGATAACTTTCGATCTGAGAAAAGAGTATTTAAAAGCAGTTTCTTGAAAAATCGTGATCATCATTCTGGTGAGCAGAACTCTGAACAAACCCAGAGAACATTTATGGGTTCTCTTGGCAAAAATGGAACATACAAGACAGTTGGCAATAAAAAGAAGAAAACACTGACTTTACCATTTTCTTGGCAAAAGCATTTCCAGAGCCAAAATATGGGAAATAATTTAAAAGATATCCTTACAACAGAAAGCATAATAACCATGGATAATTCAGTGAATAATAAAGACTTGGCAATCTATGGTTCACCAGGTGAGGAATTCTTTAGTAACTGTGAGGTACTTCAGTGTGAGTTATCAGTTCCAAGTGAAAACATACATACTGGACATAAAATGTGTCCTTGTGACAAATGTGAGAAAGTATTTCCTTCTGTCTCCAAACTACAAAGACACTATTTAATTCATACTGGACAAAGGCCTTTTGGCTGTAATGTTTGTGGGAAATCTTTTAGACAGGCAGCTCACTTAAAAAGACATACACAAACTCATGTTGAAAAGAATCCTTATAGATCTCTTTACCCAGCAGAATTTGGAAATTACAACAAATTTTTCATTCATACAGGTGATAATGTTAACTGTAATGCTTCCGAACAATGTCAGGCTCTTGGTTTTCAAAATCATGAGGTCTCAGAGTCAGATCAAATATCAGAAATAGACAGCAAGGCAGAATCAAAGGATTTCGTTCTTGGTACCCACTGTAGGCAGCCCTGTCTTTCTAATGCACTTTTGGAATCAGAGCAGGGCCATCATTATTACAGTTATGCAGGGCATCAGGAGAGAAATGAGCATGGCCTGCTTTACTATTGCAGTGTTTGTTCTAAAAGTTTCCGATCTCCATCTAAACTGGAAAGACACTATCTAATTCATGCAGGGCAGAAACCATTTGAATGTTCATATTGTGGCAAAACATTCAGACAGGCTCCCCACTGGAAGAGACATCAACTGACTCACTTTAAAGAACGACCACAAGAGAAAGTGGTTTTAGATTCGGTTGAGTAACTGAAACAATTGCTAATAATGTGTGGTCTCTGATGATCTTAAAGCCTGTATTATTTAAAATGCATTTTTATCAAAAGGCCTGCATTAGATTGATTTCATAGGCAGTTGCTTGTCCTGCATAGTAAGGAGGTAAATACATAGAAGATTAATATGTTTTAGGAACAGCCAAATTAACTTTTAGAAGAAAGAGCATGATTTGATGCCATGAAGTAAGCATTTATTTTATTTTAATATTATAAACATGCTTTGGCTGTATTGAAAGTTATAAATCTATGATGCTGTACAAATACTTCAGCCTCATTCACTTTTTAAAGGAATTCTTTCCTTTAAAAGAAGGAAACATACCATCTTTTGCCTTTTACCATTTTGAGGTATACTCAAAAGACTGAGGCAAAAATTGGCTTTTAGTTCCAGCAAATAGCCACCATATTCATTTATTTTACCTTTCACATGAAAGCATAATTTTGTCTACATACACCTCAAATTACATTGCAAAATGTTTTTTCTCGTAAGTTTAAAAAACTGTAGAGGCAATAAAAGTGAAAATGGATGAGAAAATTATAGCATTATTTTCATTGGTCCTTTCAAAGCTATTTATTCTTAGGACTATGTGGTCATATCACCTCCTTTTCCTCAGGCAATGAAGATCCTTTTTTGCCCAGGCTGCAGTTGTCCTTCCCAAAAGAATTTAAAAGGAGAGAAGCTAGAATGCACCCATATACATTTACCATATTTGCTTATCAGAAATATTTTCCAAGTGCCATAGTCTTTTTGATAATATATATGCAGTTTTCAGAGGAATAAATGCAATTCATCTATTTCCTTGTTAATGATTGACAGCAGTAGTCATAGACTTAATACTCAACTACATTTTAGTAAAACTTTCTTTTTATGCCTCTTTGAGTGGTCCTATGATGTAATTAAGCCTGTTCTATGAAGTTTTATCAAATGGCAGTGACTAGGTCTAGTTTTAGTTTTTATTCCTCTATGTTTTTGCAAGACTCTAATGCTAAAGAATGTTATTTGGATTCTTATTAAATTTTTATTTAATTAGTAAGGTAGTCATTCCTACATAGGAATAAGATGCTTACAGAGTTAAGGGTGTCACTCTACTAAACAGAACTGTCACAGTTTGGGAAATATTTTATTCTAAACTATGGAAGACTTATTCATATTCACAAATTGTCCTTCATATTTGCCATTGTTTGTAAAGTCTTTAAGAATGATATTTTCTACCAATAAAAGAAATTAGCCATTTTGTTTCTAAGGTGAAAAGAACAAGTGGGTATTTATCATTGCACACTTAGATATAGTGAAAAGACCTCTTGAGAATGTGGATAAAGAAGTTTTGCATTATATTCTAAGAACTGTCTTTAGAGAGAATGGGTGAGGGAGGAGGGATGGGAGGTAAATTTCATCTGCTGCTTTTACCACCAGTTAATTTTAAGTAACTTGGGTTTAATTTATAGAGATGAAACATGGCAGTATGAGTAAAATACCCAGTGGTGTACAAGTATGCCTGTTTATTAAGTAGATGGGGACATCCAACTAAAGCAGAGGAGAATCACATGCTTTAAAGAATAATTTCTCTTAGGTTTACCTGAGATAAGTTCCTCTAGTATAAGCAAGATAATAATGGTTTACAGAATTTGCTTTACACAAAACTTTCCAAGAACACATCTGTTACATAAAAACAAGGAATAGCTATTAATAGTTCATATTTTCTAAGAATAAATGTTCAAGAGTCTTTCTCATGTCTGAAATTATAGATTTTGGCATTTTCCTAAGCAATTTATGTAATTTTATTTTATTGGAAGGAAATGTCTTAAATACTCCTTTCCCAACCTAAACAGGGAGAATCTTGACAGAGTGTTGTGCTTGTATGATTATGAGACTTTATTTGCTTAAGTGGTAATACTATATATTTTTTTTTGGCCCATGCCTTTTTAAGCTGTTTCATATTGAAAGTTGGGATATTGTAAAAATTTTGTCAAAGATGTACTGTAGTGCTATTTGAAGTACCTGTAACAAAATACAGTCGGCCCTCTGTATCCACGGGTTCTGCATCCTCAGACTTACCTACTACAAATCGAAAATATTGGGGGGGGGAGACTACAATAATAATAATAATACAAATATAAAACATAGTATAACAGCTATTTACATAGCATTATTGTTGTGTTAGGTATTATAAATAACCTAGAGATAATTTAAAGTATACAGGAGGAATTGTGTTGGTTAGATGCAAATATTGCACCATTTTGTGTAAGGGAGTTGAGCATCCTTGAATTTTGGTGTCTGCAGAGGTCCTGGAACCAATCCCTTGTGAATACTGAGGGACAACTGTACTTGTTTACCTTTATTGTCATTGCAAGCTTCTTATGGAAATTTTATAGGAATGAAAATAATGTATACATCTATGTTAAGAAGATTAAACATTAGATGTTAAATGATGGTTTGCTGCATGCTAGAACTGTTAGTATTGTTGAATCAATTACTTTAGTTTTTTGAAAAAAATAAACTTTATAAATATCTTTAAAGATAACTATAAGAATTTTTTGTTTGAGTGATTCCAGACTGTAGCATGGTTATGTACTGAAGTAGTTTGATTGGCTGGCTGAGTTAGTAGAATTATTGTTTTATGTTTTGTACTGCAATAAGGCCTATAATTTTAAGAAAAAAAAATTGATGTGTGTTTAAGGGAAGTAGATGGTGGTTAAAATTATTGAAAAATTCAAATTTCAGAATATTTTTAAAATAAAGTTTCAAGTTACATAGTTTGGACTTTTTTTTTTAAAGGAAGTGTCACACAGTATTGGAACAAGGTATTGATTGATTGCCAGATACTTTCATGGGCCCATTTCAATCCGCCTTCTACAATGAATTTACATGCGTATTTAATCATTTGCTTCCTTGTTCACTTACGTTTCTTTGATAGCTCCTTATCATCTACAAAAGAATAGGTTAACTCTGTTGCATGTCATACTGTATACTTATTTATCTATTTGTCCTCTTTGGCCTTCCTCTCCAGATTTGTACTAAAGAAATACAGAATCAGTTTCTTCAATACATATTAATATTCTAGTTATTTTTGCCATCCATTATGTTTACCTTATATTAATTTAAATTAGACACAGACTCTTAAAATCCATTCAAAGAAGAAATTTAGCTGAGTCAGATTTTATTCCTTTTTCTGTTCTTCCATGATGATGGGGGAAAACACGTGCTAAAAACTGACTTGCAGAGACCACGGATTTCGATGTACACGTTATATAAGATAACCAATTAGAATTACAGACATCTTTAAGGACATAGCCGTAGTCTTTGAAGTCTGAGTATTTTTATAAGAATCCTTTGTTAAAAATAACATTTGCAAAGATTGTTTTATGATGCAGAACCCTATCTGCTCTTTAGAAGCTGTAGGAAAGGAAGGAACATTTAATCCCTGTCTTATTGAGACTTCTCTTGCCAGTTAGAAGGGCTTAGATTTAAGAGCTAGGTGCTGGAATTCTATTCACATTAAGAGAAAATAGCAAATGTAACTGGAAATAAAAGTGGTACAATGGTATTATTAGATGGAATACAGAACATCAAATATTTTGCATCTACACTGGCAATCTTATATTCAGTTGTTGAAATTGAATTTATGTACTATTTCCTCTGAAAGCCTTTCTGATTTACCCAAGCACTCAAATCCCTGTGTCCCTGCTACTTTTTGTTTATAACTCTATTGTTACTGTTGATCTTCCACTAGAAACTAGTGTTTTTCAAACTTTAGAGTATATTGGCCTTGTTAAAAGCATAGATTGCTGGGCTTCACCCTGAGAGTTTCTGATTCAGTGTCTGGGTTTGGGCCCAAGAATTTGCATTTAGTAACTAACAGATTAGCTGTTGTTATCAGACTATACTTTGAGAACCACTGAGCTGAACTACACACTTCTGGAAAGCAACGGAATGCATCTTTTTATATTGTGTAGAGGGCTTAATACAGTGTCTGGCAAACATTAGGTCCTCAAATGTTTATTGAGTGTATGAAGGAAGAAATGAAAGAAACAAGTATTACTAATATTACATTTTCCTTAAATCTATAACTCTACTTAGACCCTTTCATTCACTCTCAGAGGAAGTTTGCCTTCTACTGTGTTGGGATCAAAGCCAATCCAACATGTCCTCTCTAAACTTTCCTCTGACCTCAAAAATATCTTGTTTATCTTTATGCCTTTTCTCTTTCTCATTGTCTCAAAATAATGTTCCTCCACTTTTCTGAGGCTAACTTTTCCTTGTCCCCTTCTGGGAACTTCATTGACAGTCCCTTCTTTTTTCTGGTATCTGGTTTTTCAGTCTCCGTGATTCCTTCTCTGTTGTCTAAAAATTCCATATGTTCTCTGTTCACTTGTGATGCTTTTGGCTGCAAGTGACAGAACCCCTAACTCAAACTGCTTTAGCAATAACTGCTTTAGCAATAAGGACCTTTGTCAGCTTACATGACTTGAAGACCAGTGACTAGATAAGCTTTAGGGTTGTCAAATTCCATAGTTGAATTGATTCTATTTACTTTCGTCTGCTCTGCCTTTCACAATGACGAGGCCATTTTCCTGTGATTTTATGATGCTTTTTTTTTCTTTTTTTTTTTTTTTTTGTAACCAATACCTCATGCTTCCTTTTTGGGAAGTACACTGGGGCAGTGGAGTGAGTGAGAAATCTAGAAACTCTCACAAGAGCAAGGAACAACTTTGCCAAAAACCTACAGCAAATCTCACCTCTCTCATCTGACAGAATTGCTTCATAAGCGCATTCCTGAACCAAACCATTGACAAAGATTATCTCGAGCTGGGGTTGGAACTGAGCTTTCCTTTCAACACATAGTTGCCTGGGAGTGATAAAGGTACTGGTCAAATTTGAAGTTTTGTTTGGAAAGAGAAGAATGGATAGGCAATCCATGTTGTCCCCTGTACCTAACTTAAAAAAGGGTGGGGACAAACAACTTTAGTTTTACTTGTTACTTTGGCTACTATCATAGTTTACTCTTTTCCTTTTATGGTCAGAATTGCTGCAAATTCATCTTATATCTACTTTCATTGCCTCTTTACTCACTAACTTCTTAGCCCTTTATTACATGTTGTTTTCCTCACCATCCCTTGGGAGTTGCTCTCAGTGGTTATTGTAGTGGTCATTGTTGGTTGCAACCACATCTCTTTCTCTCTTTCACTTATCTCCTTCACCAGCCAGGTGGTCTGGGAATAGGTAACCCAATCTAAGCCAGAGTAATTGGCTTGGGAGTTTCACTGACATAAGATGATTGGATCAGAGTGAAACCTTGAACTTATTTTAGTGATTGAGGAAGGAGAAATTAGTGTATAGAAGTTCTCTCTTTTTCTATACCATAATGGGCATTAGTCTGTTGAGGAAGTCAAAACACAGAGGAGATGGGGCAGGGAGCAAAGACAAAAGAATCATTCCACAGAGAAATGGAGCTGGAAACCTAATCAAACCGCCTGAATCCTAACATCACTAGACTTTTTATTTATTTACACCTATAGATTATTTTTAAGCCAATCTGAGTTAAGTTTTTCCTCTTTTTCTTCTTTTTTTTTTTTTTTTTTTTTTTTTTTTTTTTTGGAGACTGTCTTACTCTGTTGCCTAGGCTAGAGTGCTGTGGCATCAGCCTAGCTCAAAGCAACCTCAAACTCCTGGGCTCAAGCGATCCTTCTGCCTCAGCCTCCCTAGTAGCTGGGACTACAGCCATGCGCCACCATGTCTGGCTAATTTTTTCTATATTTTTCATTGTCTGGCTAATTTCTTTTCTATTTTTAGTAGAGACGGGGTGTTGCTCTTGCTCAGGCTGGTCTCGAACTCCTGACCTCTAGCAATCCTCCCACCTCAGCCTCCCAGAGAGCTAAGATTATAGGCGTGAGCCATTGTGCGGGGCCTGAATTAAATTTTCTTACAACAACGTATCCCAATTAATGATGGTCACCAGTGGTTTTCTAATTGTCAAACTCATAGTCTTTTTGAAATTCTTGTCCTTTTAGATTTTTTTGAAGCATTTGACACTATTGACAATCTTACCATTTGAAACCCTTCTTGACTCACTAGTTCCTTTGCTTTCTCCTTTATTTACAAAACACATTATAGAAAGCTGTAAAACATAGGGAAAACTGAGATTTTAGAATATCCAAACTCATTAGTCAAGAACAGATAAGAGAAATGATAAAGTAGTTAGAGATGAGAGAGAGAAGAGGGGTACTATGACACTGCATTCTGTCATGAATCTGGTAGGTATTACCAATTAGAAGCATTCACATAGATCACTTGAAAGCTACATATGATCTGGAGCTTATTGGTTTAATATCCTCTTGGCCACAAAATCATGAGACAAGTTATGAATTTAAGAAATATGTAAATTGGAAAACAAACTTTATTACCACTTTATCGCTTCCTACCACCTTAGACTGCCTTTCTGTATAATGGAATCATTTTTCCTTTTAAAACCCACTCTACCCTCTGTCTTATTTACTGTGCTTTGTGGTTCCACTATTCTTCCAACTACTTAGGATGAATTTCTCTTTAGTTTATCTCTCCAGTGTCTTCCACATTTATTCCTTCCTTTCACTTCACTGCCAGTACCCAAATTTAGTTCTTTTTACTTTAGCCTTAGGTTTGCAATAGTCTCCCAGCTGGTATTCCCATCCTAATATTACCTGCTCCAACCCATTTAACACATCACTGAAGAGGATCTTCCAAATTTAGTTTTCCAATCAATGATTTCCTATTGTCTTCCACAATAAAGACAGCCTCCTTTCCCTAGCTTTCAAGGGTTTCAACATGTCAAGCCTTTTGCTCACTCTTAACATTACCTCAGCATTACCTACCTCCATTACTTTATCTGGATATGCTGTAAATATAGCATAGTCTAGAAATATAGTCCTTACAGTTTTGGTTATCAAAATGTTATGTGTCAAGATTCATTATGAAAGCCATCAGAAAATCTTATTTATTGTTTTATAGACTCTGTTTGGAAATAAAATGTCAATAGATATGTATTCAAAATCTGTTGCATTTAAAATTGTGATCATGCACATTTTTATCTTTAGATCTATAAATAAACTTCATACAATAAAATGTAGAGTGAAAAAAGGACTTCACATTTAATCTCCATGCCTACAGACAATTGTTTTTTCCTTCAAAATGTTTGTTTTTGACAGGTCAAATATGTTACAAAATGGCACATAATGTAAAAATAAGCCATCTCCCACTGCTATTTCTCCCACCACCACCAACACACAATTCTTCCTTCCCGGAGGCAACCATGTTATTAATTTCTTGCCTGTATTGATTCAGGGAGAGTTTACTAGAGATACATGTTTAATTTATGTATGGATTTGAGAATGGTAGGGATATACAGTCAAACTCAGTAATAAGAAAACAAAACTGGAGACCATTATCCTAAGTGAAGTGGCTCAAGAATGGAGAAACAAACACCATATGTTCTCACTAATAAGTAGGAGCTAATAGATGGGTACACATGGGCACAAAGCCCATAAGAAACCAAGGAGGGGAGAGGGTGAGTGGGTGGGTGTGGGATAAAAATTTACCTATTGGGTACAATGAACACTATTCTGGTGATGAGCACACCAAAAACTCTGAGTTAAGCATTATATGAGATATCCATCTAATAAAGACACTTGTATCCTCCAACTAATATTTCAGAATAAAAAAATTATAAATTTTTCTTAAAAGTGCTTAAAAAATAAGAAAACAGGTCGGGCGTGGTGGC